CGGGACCCAGTTTCCCGGGTCAATGGATATCTGGATCTCTGGGCCTGGATTCTGGCATTCATTCTACTCTAGGGAAACAAGAGATTATCAAAGCACATGACGCAGACTGCACGTAAGACTAGGGAATCTCTGACATCGCGACTGGGACGCGAAAGCAACATCTGCTCACAGCAAGCAAGTGGTCTCCAAGCAAGCCTAGAGACCCCGTCTAGTTCAACGCGGCGCCTTGCAACTATTGCAGGTATCCGAACCACTCCATATAACAGATGATGTAGATGTGGATGCTCAAGCCTGCGGGCGACATTCCAGCACGCATTAGGGAAGAAGGCCTCTCTCTCGGGAAGAAGGACCTCTCTCTTCTAGGATTTCACGCCTTGACAGAGCTTCAACCCCCCTGCTGTCGACGAAGGAAACAATGCTCGGATTGCTGCCATCCACGTACGAGGGTACGACCTTTCTGAGGTCCTGGTTGCAGGCAGCATGCCGCCAGGTCGTGGAGGAATGCTCATGAGAAGCAAAGCACACTTGTGAAAGCATGAAACAACTAGCCAAGACACGCTCAGGACTGAACTGCTCAAGCGAGCGGTGTCACAGCTAAGAAGAGCCGCGAGTAGGTCAGAGACAGCATTCTCCACACCATCCTCCAACGTTTCGGATTTGCATGCTTTCAGATTCCGAACGACCGACAATCAAGTAGTGGGCCTGCTTGTGAATTGCAGCCCCGCGCACCATCAGATCCAGTATTCTTTGATGAGTGCTGTCAACCTCGCGCAATTGGACTGCGGTTTGCAGTCGCCGACGAAGTACGATGTGTATCGACAAGGACGACATGCTGCTAAGCTGCTATCAACGAGGTCACATCTGTGGCACAAGACGCGCGAGCGCCGATGTCGAAACTTGCAGCACGAGCTTGGAAGAATTCCTCTAGCTGGTGGCTCTGCAACTCTGGTACTGGAACATCTGTAATGCCATTGAACACCTTGGATGAAGTTGGGCTTGTGGACTTCAAGAGCTGCTGTGATATGGTATGAGGACATAGCTGAACCTTTCAGGTAGCAGCATCTACTGCGGCGCAGAGACTGCTTGCAAAGCCTCAGCTAAGTCGCAGTTCTTCGACGGCGTCTTCCCGAAGCCAGCAAACCGTGCTTTGGCTCAGCCGGGCTCTGCTCCTGAAAGCTGTGAGCAACTGAAGAAAGTGTTGCGAGTGCTTGGACTAAAATCGCGAGCGATCTGCACCTCGACAAAGCTTCCCTTCTTGGCAGCTGATAAGCCGACGCGATTCTCGAAGCACATGATACTTTGCCTTTTGCTACGGGACGTTGCATGGAAGATGGAACCACATGTCGAAGACGTCTTTGCCGCCTCATCCTGTCCGTCCGATCCAGGTCCCACCTGTCCATCATGTTGGCCATGCCTTGCAGGTACCTGAAACTGACATCTGCAAAACTGATCCCTGTGACGATTGATGCCTCGACTGTGGCAGCAAAGCTAAAGCCAGAAAACGCATCACAAAGGCTGCATCTGAGACGCCCATCTTTGCCAACGTCAATCTCAGTTTCCTCCGTAGAGAGCCCTAGCTGCTTCAGTGCTGCCATAGCACGCACTATACAACCCTGTCCTCTGGCGGTCCCTGCGATGCTCGCCAATGCAGATTCACGAGACGGGCAGAATGGCGAACCTGCACACGTCCAGCTTCAAACAACGTGGCAAATGCATTGCAGCTGTAAGCTGCTGCAGGCAAAGTAGCCGGATCGTCCCGCAAGCCAGTTATCTCCGACTCGGTAAATGCCTCGCTGGAAAAGCTCGACTTACACCAGTACGAAACAGCCACCGCAGCGTTCCCGTCGAAGTCTGCATCGAGTGGACATTGCACTGCCGAGGTCACGGCCCTTGCTAGGCTTCTCGCTTTGGCCTCGAGTCCAGGGGTTGTAGGGCAAGCGAACGGGGAGGACTGACATGAGAGTCGCCTTGCTGGGCGGCGGAGCGGCGCCCGGGCCTTTGCCCTTGGCCTTCGGTGGAGGCGGTTTAGGCAAAGAGCCTCGAGGCGAGCGAGGGCCTGCATCGAGTGACCCTCAAACTTTTCTCCACTTCTACTTGGGCTCTGCATGGCTGCGCCACTGGCTGTGCCTGGAGGCGGGGCCGGAGCCTGGCAGGAAGACTTGCACCACCGGGGCGCGGCCGGTCTGGGAGCCGGCCTTCGCTTTGCCAAGGAGGCTCACGCCTTTGGCCACTGCGACACCTCTCATGCAGCGAGTCAAGCGACTGGAGGCAATTGGAGGCACAGATTACACATCATGTGAGCCAATATCGCAAATTAGCTTACAAAGTGTGCGTGTGCGTGTGCGTGTGCG